TTCGCGCCGGGACCACCCCCGGCGTGTTTTGCAGGTACCGGCGATCAAGGAGACGTAACCCGGTTCGGAGAGGAGCGGTCCAGCGGTCCAGGTTTGTGTGGTATAACAAATATGAACATACATTAATTATTTTCATTATATAAAAAAGGAAGAAAACTACATTCATAACTTTTACGAATAGTAATAATGGCATTTTATTGCAACAAATTTTATAATAAAATAATAATTGAGAATTTTACAAAAAATTAGTAAAATTTTTATTTTTCTTATATCAAAGAATAAATATACATAGTTAAATCAAGTTTATATTACTATAAATGAATTAACGTGAATTAATTGATTTACGGGCTAGCGCTAACACAAAAAAATAACGTTGATCAACTTTATTATTTTTTAGACCTTAACGAACAAGCTCAATGAAAATAACTCATTTAATATCTCTGTCACGTGCATCACACAAGCTACGTACTAGTTTCATATAGATAGATTAATATTTGTAGTTTTTAGCCTAGTATGGGATAAATTCCAACCTCGGGTCGTGTCTCTCGAGGAAGGTTGTTCGACCATGAATTCGGACAATGATCGACTAATGCAAAAAGGAAAATAAAGATCCTAAACATTCTACTCTGGTGGTTGGATTAATAAGCTAAAGGTCACAACTATAAACCAAGATTCAAAATTTAAAGCAAGCTAGACCTCAAATTGCAAGAAAAAAAAATAGAGAGAAAAATAGCAAGGTGCCTAAGGCCCGAGATAGAAAGAAAACACACATAGGTTCGAAAACATGCAATCAAGCAATCGTCGCTTGCGAATCAATTAATCGAGCTCTCAATCAATTATTACTCATGCAATCAACAACAAAATCACATAATCCTTTGCCTACGAAGATGAATGCATATTCTACTCATAAAAGCTCATACCTTTAATCTAGAAAAATCCAACAAATAAAGGCAAGAAAAAATCACGAGATCTTAGACCTTCAACCAAGTCTCTGGTTGGACCTTAAACGATGTCTCCAAGTCTCTAGTGCATCCACGAGAAGAAATAAGCCTGAAAGTTCTAATCTTGATGGAGAAATAATAGCAAAAAAAAAGGTCTTGAAGCCCTTATAGAGAGAAAGAAAACTAAAAAGAATAGAGAAAAAAACTAAGAAGAAAATTTTAGCAAATGAGAAATTGTTCCAAAATTACAAAGCACTAAGTCTATATATAGTTACACCACAAACACACTAAAAAACGCACATTTAATGATCAGAACTCACAAGCTAGGTTAATTTCGCGATCAAAAGTGGGATTTTCGCGAGCATGGGGGAGCTCAAGAATGCTGGCGCTAGGGAAAAAGGAACTCGCGAGCTATCGGCGATTCGCGGCTTGTGGACGTTGACTCGCGGGCCGGTGTTGGACTTGCGAGCTAGCAGCCCGTGAGTTACGATTTCACGGACGCGAACTTTAGGTGCAGTCCGGGGCGTGGCTCGCGAGTTGAGGAGAGCCCGCGAATGTAAATTTCGCGGCTTGCGAATTTGGACTCGGTGACTACGATTATGACTTTTGAGGCTATAGTTCATCGCACGCTTCTCCGATCGACTTGAAATTTCGACTCAAATTTATCAAATGTTTTTCTCCTCGTCTCGAGTCGGCACAGACAATTCGGTCGGCTCAGACGGATCGGACGACTCAGACGGCTCGAGCGACTCGTCTTCCCAATCTCGCAATGACAAACATATTCAACATAAAAAAGACAAGAAATATACGTCGAACCACAAAAAAAACATACGACGAAAGCAAAAATACACAAAAAAAGTTAAAATAGACCAATCGACACCAAAACGGACTTAAAACTACACGACTAAGACACGAAAAAATACACGAAAAATAGCACAAAACCACAACAAACAATTAACAATAAATACATCCCTTAGTTTCTTAGTTGCTTCGTTGATGACTTTAACATAATATCCATTTGATGTTATTTCATGCATAACAATATTTTTAAAATTAACAAATGGACATTTTTGTTTAAACTAGTCCGTTAAATGTGGCTTTTGTTCGCACCATATAGATATAGTTGTCTGTGGTTCTTTGACATTAGTCTTTGACATTAGTCTTCCTCGTACATTCATCCTAATATATTAATGCAAAGTTTGTTGAAATTACATGTCAATTTCGATGCTTCTTAATATTATGTGTTCGACTCATTGATATGATAATGCAAAATTTTTCGAAGTTATGTGTTAATTTTTTATGCTCTGAAGTGCTATGGACTTTAATCCGTGGATATTAAGATTTTTAAAACTATAAAACACTTGACTAACTAAAATTACAAATATCTTTAAAAAGAAAATAACTTTTATCGATTTTGCTATGAAGCCGTTGGCTCCATAATGAAATCAACCTTCTATATACAACAAGTAAACTGTACCATATTCTTTAATTACTTAAATAACACTATTAATTTTATTAATATGATATGATTTACTTGTTGTATATAGAAAGTTTGGCTCCACGATGGAGCCAATTGTTGGCTTCATAGCAAAATCGTAACTTTTGTATTTAAAATATATAACACTTGACTAGTTTAAACTACAACTAATTTTAAAAGAAATAATTTTTGTATTGTTATTTGTTTTTCACATGACATATCAAATTAAGCATATGTTGATGAATTTAAATTTTACATCTATATTGCATATATAATATCCTTGTAATTAAAACTATGTTATCCACTAAATTTAATTGAAAATTAATTAAATTACTAATTAATTAAATACATTTAACCATAAAGTTATTACCATTGTACTAAAAATCTGTCTAGGCGGCAGCCTCCGATCTGCACAAATTAGCTGAAAAAATTGGCCTGGCTGTTAGGCGGTGCCTAGGCGGCCTTGATGGCAATTATTTTTTTTAATATTTTTTAAATATTAATTACTTTATTTTATTATCATTTTTTTTAATAATCTATTAATATTATTATTTAGACTTAGGTGTGTGAGTTTATTATAAGTTGATGTACTTTTATTTTGTAGATAGCAGAAATAAATAAAAATAATATATTTAATCTTAATTTCTAGATCCAGCAGGCGCTGGTCGAGCGCATAGCGACTTCTAGAACACTTGCTATTATATGATACCACTTATAAAAATTATTGTAGCATAAGATGAATAAGTCAGTACAAGTGAATTGACAAACCTGATTTTGGGAGATGCTACAGATTCGTTACGGAACCATTCTGTCGAAGTTTGTAATCGTTAGATCATCATATAACTGTCGGGGATAGGCAGTACAAGTGAATTCTCCCTCATTTTTTTCTTACAAATGTACGTGTAATATTTTCTAACTATATATTACACACGTGTTTTGTACTTGTACTCAAGTCTACTTATGTGTATGGGGTACTATATAACAAGGCCATTATTGAGAAGTGACAACAAAACAAGAAAGGGATAAACAGAAGCCCAAAAATACCATCTTTTTTTCCTTTAATTTGCACCTCTTTGATCAGTATTTTCTTTTCAGTTCAGATACTTTTTGTATCCTTAAAAGAAGAATTATGGACAAAACTCTGCACTTTGTTTTAGGAATTTTTGGTGGGTAATTTAATTTAATTTAATTTAATTTTTTTTATTTCTCCTGTTTTCTTATTACATATTTATCATTTCATCTGTTCTAACTAATACATTTTTCCTTTTATTTATTTATTTTTTTTTTCTCCAATTCCACAGGAAATGCTTTTGCTCTGTTTCTTTATATGTCTCCAGTGTGAGTTTTCACTTATTTTACTATTTCAAGATTGTGTCATATGATGAAATTGCAGCTAAAACTCGAGATTAGAAATCAAATGAAGTGAAACTAATGAATATGAAACAAAATAACCAAAAGAACCATTCTGTCGAGGTTTGTGATCGTTAGATCGACGGTTACATGATGATGTAGCGGTTACAAAACCTCAACAGAATGGTTCCGTAACCGGATCCGTAGCATTTCTCATTAATTAGTTTATTATAGTTTTTTGTACTTCCACTTGTGATGATATTATAATTGATTATCATAAGTTTATTTAATACAGGGTTACCTTCAAAAGGATCTTGAAGAACAAATCAACAGAGCAGTTTTCTGGCATTCCCTTTGTCCTCACCTTGCTCAATTGCTTGATTGGTTCATGGTAATTTCTGTTTAATTTTATCAAAATAATCATAAGTAGTACCATTAGAGATCCTTTTTTTTTTCTTTCTTTCTTTTTTTTTTTAAAGAAGATCAATGGTAGTTACCAACTTACCCCTTGGATGACTCGAACTCGTGACCTATATAGGTCTCTTAAAGTGAAGAGTGCTACCAACTGAGCTATCTCTTCTCATCATAGTAGTTTCTATTAGTTAATACTCAGACACAATTGTGAAACCGAACACATGTTTGCAATAAGCTACGAATTTGCGCTTAAATTTGCGTATATGTCTTTGGATTAGGTACGGCTTGCCATTTGTGTCGCAAAACAACTTTTTAATAGCGACCGTTAACATAACCGGGGCCGCGTTTCAAGCCGTATTCTTGACGATATTTCTAATTTACGCGCCAAGAAGAGAGAAAAACAAAGTTATCGGGGTGCTTACACTCGTGCTTGCCTTCTACGCGATTTACGTGTTTGTATCTCTCTTTGCATTACACGGCAATGGCCGGAGGCTTTTCTGCGGTACGCTCACGACAATTTGCGCCATCATCATGTTCGCCGGACCGATGGTCATCGTAGTATGTCTTCTTCTTCTTCTTCTCTTTTTTTTTTTATTATTATTATTATTATTATTATTATTATTATTATTATTATTATTATTATTATTATTATTATTATGTGGTCCTTTCCTTTCACATGCTTTTTGATCTCATGGTTTTGTTAGGCACACACTCATGTAATAAAAAATTTAAAAATTTAGTAAAAATTTAAAAATCTCATGAATTTGGAAAATACAAGTTGTTGAGGGGTTGCTTAACCATCTGACAATCATA